AACTCTTCCCGGACTTCAAGCGGACAGGCTGAACCTTGACCGAAGGCTGACTATCTAGGCAAAGATGAGATGCAGGAGAGCACAGGAAGGGATAATGGGAAACAGGAAGTAATGGGAAATTAAAGTTATGTACAGTTGCAATGCTTTCAGGAGGCTTTACTCCTTACCATTATGGAACCTTTATAATTGTTGGCATCTGTCAAACCATCATAAGAGTGGAAAATAATGACATGTTGAGGGAAGCTCCCTCATTTCCTTTCTGGAAACATTAAATTGCCAAATGCCAGGCCACAGAATTAATCTTATCTCCATCCTTGTCTTGGGCAGATGATGGAGGTGGAAGCAGGAGAAGCGATCAGCCTTCCACAATGTAGTCTCTTCCAAATGCTTTGAACTGCAGCTTCCACCAGCCCCAACCAATATGACTGTGCTGGCTGAGGCTGATGGGAACTGTAGTCCAAAAGATCTGGAAGAAACCAGGTTGGTGGAAGGCTGACCTATTGGTAGAGCCAGGGGTTGGTTGATAGGACAGATACCAAAGTGCAGGAGCCAACTTTCAGTTCATCTGTAGGGTTTTTGCTTTTTTTGAGCTTTCACTTATTGATTGAACTGGTTTTTGGCAGCTGTAAATGGCACGCTGCAAAGCTTCTCCTAAGAGATGCCTTCAGTTCTATTGAAGACTTTGAAACCACCCTTCCCCCAAGAGGGACTTTTGGCAAGGGAGAAACACGCTCTGTCCACTGGACACCTGTTGTGAGGCATATTGCAGTGTGCTCAACATATGTGCCCAGCTGAGGGCTGGCAAAGTGGGAGGGTGGGAAAGGCTCAGTTGACTTCCTATGGGGATTGACATCTGTGTGCATTTAATTCTGTGTGGAGGGCTTGTGCCCTTATTTTGGATGCAGGTTTGCATTGGGAATTCAGTGTAAATTTAACACATGAACTGCCATGGGCTTTGCCCTAATACTGCACAGGTCCATGCCCAAAAGGGTTAGAATGCATTATGTAAACATTAGAACAGCCTATATAGAGATATAGAGGGAAATCTATGTCTTTGACCCAACTGACAGAAATAATTTGTTGAATTCCTTTTCTCATGAGAAACAATATAGGAGTCCATTCTTTCTTAGGCAGAGAGGTTGCTTAAAAATCCAGAATAATTAGGGGATGTTTCATCAGCAGAACATTTTCTGTCAAATGGCAAAAAATTCATTTTGCCTTCTCGGACCCCATGACTTGAAAACAGCTTTTGATAGCAGTTTTTAAGCAAACAACTGTGTAGTATATTTCAGTCACACCCATGTCTGCCTGTCTCTCATTCAGTCTTCTCTGATCGTAGGTTTACTACGGAAAGCTGCTGTTACAAATGAAAACTATTTGATAAATTAGATGTGGCTGAATCATGGCAGTCTTGAGCACATTATAGCTGCGCTGGCATAGTGCCTAAGAGATTAAGCTACAAATGAGGGAATCCCCAGCGGAAACTCCATACATTCTCCCATGAACTTGTAAGGCTGGCATTAGGCAGGCTATAACCTCTCTGTCTTAGTCTCCATTCACAATAATCCTGACCTACCAGCCCGAGCTATTGCAAAGGTTATGGCCTTATAAGCTATCTGAAGTGTTCTGACAATCCAAACAGGTCAGGTGGTTGGCACAGAAACCCAACAGAATGCAAAAAGAGAGCAACCAGTTCTCCAAAGTGCCAGCGATGGAGGTTTATTATAGGTTTCTTTCTTCAAATGCAGACTTTGAGCTTCTGAAGCAGGCTCCTTTTGGAGCCAGATGGGCAACATGCAGAGTTTGTGTGATCTGCTTCAGAAAGTCTAGGCTTATGGACTGTGCAGAATTAGACAAGATGACAGGAAGGATTTGAAACCTGTGGGATCAGAGATTCTCAGAGGAGTGGAGTAAATATGTGAACTATCTGAAAAGCAATTGTAATCAACAGATCACGCTAGTAGGACTGCAAGAAGTTTTGTAAGGAGGACTATGTGAAATATTGCAGAGAAAAGTACGAAGAGAACTATTAGTGAAGGACTGTTAAAAGTAATAGTGAAATTAATGAAATGCAGATTAAGTGATAAAGGTTGAAAAATCTTCAGATGTGGTTGATGGAAGTTCAAAACATTGAATAAGATGAGAAAATATGTTGTATGGTTTTTTAGGGGAAATTTTATGTAAAAATTAATAAAAAATATATTAAAAAAAGAAAGAAAGTCTAGGCTTGCTCCTCAAGAAGAAACTTTAGTTCCGAAATGTGTTGAGGTACAATAAACATTAACGGGTGTCACTTTTGAGAACTAGCTTCTACCTTTCTGCATTCTTTGTGAAATGTTTTGAATGCTCTATGTCAGGCATGACCAACTCACAAGAGACTGTGATCTACTCCCAGTATAAAAAAACTGGCAGTGATCTACCCATTGTCTTTGGAGGGGGGAGGAGTGTGCGGGGGGTGGGGTGGGGGGTGGATTGCATTGTTGAGCTTTCTGGGGGGAGGATTGCACAGAGGTTTTTTTTTAGCTTTCCCCCCATAACTTTTTGTACATGATAAGGATCTACCGGTAGATCGCGATCTACTGGTTGGACATCCCTGCTCTATATAAAAGACAAGTACTATTCTTTGGAAGTAAGGCCCACTCTAATCCTTGGGACATCTTCCTTTTTAAATAATAATAATTTTTTAAATTAAGGTTTATAGAGAAAAATACAAAACTTAATATCTTTCCCCTTTTAAAAAACCAAACCAAGCCTTTTATCTAGATACAATAAATACACAAAAAGGGAGGGAGGGAGAGAAAAAATAGAGAAAGAGGAAGAAAGAATGAAGAGTAGAAAAGAGGTTAAAAGAGAAACATAGAAAAATAAGATTGGGAAAATAAAGAACTTCCTATTCTTCATTTGTCCACTATATAAAAACAATATTCACTTTCTATAAACAAACATTATCTTCAATCCTCAAATCCATATATCATCATTTCTTTTTCTTTTTCATGCAAAAAGTCTATGTGAGCTTTCCAGTCTTTAACAAATGTTGAAGAAAATGACTTTTATCTGATTAAACATGTCAATTTCACTTTTGGGGAAGTTTTTAATGTGTGACATCTTAGTGTATTTTTGGTCTTTGTGGAAGCCGCCCAGAGTGGCTGGGGAAACCCAGCCAGATGGGCAGGGTACAAATAATAAATTATTATTATATTACTATTATTATTTTGAAAACTAGCTTCTCATTTTTTGCATTCTTTGTGAAGTGTTTTGAACACTCTGTATAAAAGCCAAGTAATATTCTCTAATCCCTGGGACATCTTTCAATTGGTATGAACTGCTTACATTTCCTGCACTTGTGACTCCAATATATTCTGTATGAGAGTCATGCATTTTGGTTGCTTGTATATTTGTATTCTTGTTATAGCGACACCGATAATGCTTGTTAGATGGTTTGTTCTCATGTTTTTCAACACGATAGTTAATAGTTAAGTTAATGAAACATATTAAGCATGCAGTATGGGATGTGTCATTTCATATTGGTGTCCTTGATAATCAGATTTTTGTTTAATGTGTACAAATTCTCTAGGCTGGTGCAAAATCATTTCCTTGCACTAGCAATACACTGCTGGAGTTCTCACTTCCCATCTGTGCAAACGACCAATAAAAGGAAAGAAAACTGAATACTGCTTGCCTGTTTTTATTTATAAGTAAAAGGACTGGAGGCTTAACGTTTTATCAAAATGAAAATCCTAGGGAGGGGCCAGTGATATTGCTTAGAGTATATATCCTATATTTATTTATTATACTTGTATACCATCCAATAATACTTTCAGGGCAGTTTACAAGTATAAAACTCTGTATTCCACCTTTTGGTTCACAAGGCAACTCACAATAATAAAAAAATGAAACTGCAAGACAAACGTGGAAAAGATCACACCAAGAAGTAGCAAATAGCACTATATATGGAATCCAATAACATCACATTGTGGAGAGAAAGTCACATCATGCCAAACGCTTGACGAAATAGAACTCGCTCTTATGGCTCACTTGAAAGCCTCAATAGAGGGAAGCAGCTGGGCATCTCTAGAAAAGGGATTTACCAACCAGGGGGCCATGAGCAAGAGGGCCCTGTGCTGCCTTCCAGCTCACCAAACCTCAGAAGGCCATGGGAATATTCACAACATGGCCATGGCCTCACCAACATTCGGTGTTTGCAGAGCAGTTTTTGAAAATGGTTTGGCACAAGCCATTTCTTTGGTTCAGCCCCATCGTTCTGTTTCCCCCTCCTTTGTTAGCCAGACTTTTATATCCCAAGACCCCTGCAAAAACCTAGGTGTCCCTTGAAATAACAATTACTTTCCCAATAATTCTTCCCATATGTTTGCCATCCTTCCTTCTGCAGCTTTAGTGCAATGTGGTTATTTTCTCAAGGGGGAAAAAATCATTGTTCCAGAAATTATAATAGAGGAACAAATAACATATATTTGCAAAGAAAGCTCTGCCAAAAAAAACCCAAAACCAAAAGCAACACCCATTATTTCTGAGATACTAAAAAGAAGGAAAACAAGCGTTTTGTCTAAAAATACCTAACTGCAAGAGCAACATATGTGGCAGGACATATGAGTAACCAGAACATTATTTCTCTGGTGTTGAGTGAATTTTCTTTCTTTCTTTTCCTCCCATCTCCAGTTGGAGTGCTCCATTATTGTGCATCCTGAATACATTTCTTGCTATTTATATTTTATATTGTGGGCAATTTCATACAGCTGCTTTAAAACTTAACGAAAATTCCAGATGTCATGTTAGGAACAGAAAACCAGAAACCAGATTGTAAATCACAACAATAGCATGCATATAATAAAAGAGATGCCGTTTCACTCGTCTTTCTTTATTTTATTATTATTTTTTTTAAAAATAATCCTTATGCTGACTTTTCTTTATGTCTTCCTTCTGTGGGGAATTTTAGAAACTGATAGTTTGATGTGGTGTTCCCTCTCATTTGTTTAGATTCAGAGCAGAGTACGGGTTCAGACACTGAAGCATTGGCTGAGAGGACATCCTGCTCTTTTGACACGCACTCTGACCTCACATCCGGCGGCCCCATTTCTCAACCACCTCCTACCTCATCCATGGAGGAGATCCAGGTGGAATTGCAGTGTGCTGACCTCTGGAAACGGTTCCATGATATTGGCACAGAAATGATCATCACTAAAGCAGGCAGGTAAGATGAAGGCATCCCTTCAGCACAAGACTCTGAGTTTCGACGTGAAATTGACTTGATGAAATCGAAAGGTTGTCACGGTATCGTCCGTGCTTTGTCACAAACTCATTTCCCAAGACTGACAAGGGTTGAGGCTTGGAACAGGACTTTTCCCTTAACATAATGTCCATGCCTTAGCTTTACATCCATGCTGCTCTGGAGGCAGCCCCTCCTGGCAGTAAGTTTCACAACAGAGATACAGTGGAACCTCGGTTTTCGAACGTAATCCATTCTGGAAGACTGTTTGACTTCCGAAATGTTTGAAAACTGAAAGCGGAAGCCTCAATTCAACAGGGAAACTCTAAACCAGGCATAGGAAAACTCAGCCCTCCAGATGTTTTGGGACCACAACTCCCATCATCCCTGACCACTGGTCCTGTTAGCTAGGGATGATGGGAGTTGTAGTCCCAAAACATCTGAAGGGCCAAGTTTGCCTATGCCTGCTTTAAATGGAAGCCACATCGGACATTCGGGTTCCTAAAAACGTTTGAAAACTGGAGCATTTACTTCCAGGTTTTCAGAGTTTGGGAACCGAAACAGAGCCATTTGAGAACTGAGGTTTGACTGTACGTAGGAAATATGAGCCATCATTGTACATAAAACCTTTCTTAATCTCTTAATCCTAGCGATGGCCATACCAAAGCAACTGTTGCCATATGGGTACATGTTTAGGTGTGTATGCATGTATACGCATGTGTATTATCATTCAAAGGGTGATCGTTAAAAAGAATAACACTAAATAATAATATTAATAATAATAATTTTGTACTTCCTGCCATCTGTAGATCTCAGGGCAGCTCACAGCCTAAAAACACAAGATAAAAACAAAAAAAGCATAATAAGAACAAGAGCAAAACAATAAGCTGCTCCATCCAAAATATATATTATTAGTACTGGTGCCTTACCACTGGCCAGCATGAAACCTTTAGTGCTGATTTTAAAGCATTTCAAATGGTAATCTATATATGCAAATACCAAAAAACTCACGACATTTGGAAGCTTGTAGAACTTCAGCGTTAAAATAATAATATGAAAAGATCCATTAAAAGCAATTGGGTGATGATACCTTCAGAGGCACCCAATGGTCTGTTATCTTTCAAACTGGCGTTGCATATTCCAGCCAGTTCCCATTTTAATTCCAATTAATTTTCATTTTTGCAAATAATCAGCACCTTGGACAGAGAAAGGACTCACCAGGCTGTAATAGTGTTCAGTCACTTAACAGGAAGGAAAGTTGGGGGGAAGAGATTCAGCCTCTTTCCCCCCACTGTTTGATTTCCGTTATCTTTTTTCTTTGCTCTCCTTTAATTCCCTGAATTTCATAATAGGAACCAAGTGTAAGATATGTTTGTGGCCTGTATTATGGTCCACGTGACACTGAGCTACTGCTCCAGATGAACCCAATGGGTTTGGAGAAGTTTCAACAATCCACATCTTAGAAGCCAATTCTTACCTGTCTCAAGGCTCTCCTTTTCCCCATGAGTACAGGTAATAATCTAGCTTCTGTCATTTGTTTTAGACTGTACATGGTTCCTAATTACACAGATCACTGGAAACAAACAATGGATGTTTGGTAGCCGCTGTTCTCATGTTTACGGAATCATATCACATTCAGTGAGGAAATACTCCTTCAACTCAGTTGTAGGTTTGCAAATAGGCTTTAAGAGGCGACACTGTGCCTGCTTGCTGGCAGAGGGCTTTATGGGATATGCAGATGCTTCAAGCTATCTGAACTATACATTTAAAGCAGCATCACACCACTCAGGGCAGTTTGTTAAGGGTGCTGTGAGTTGTTAGGACACTCTCTATTCCAGTGTTTCCCAACCTTTTTTGGGCAAAGGCACACTTGTTTCATGAAAAAAATCTCGAGGCACACCACCATTACAGCCCCGTGACGTCAGCGCGCAGCGTCACGCCGGGAGGGACGCACGAAAGTGTAAGATTCAATTTTTTCCCTCCCCCTTGCCTTCCTTCTGTGCCAACCGCCAAAAAGCCAAGAATCGCGGGACCGCCGGCGGAGGGGGGAGGGCGAGCGGAGGCAGCGGCGAGCCCCGTTCCTCCCCATCCGCCCCATTCCGTGCAAGGAGCGCGAACAGGTGTGAGAAGGGGGTCAAACCTGCGGGTCGGCGCCGGGGAACCTCCAAGCTTTGGGGGTGGGGGGGAGGAGGCAGCAAAGCGAGGCAGGAAGGAGAGCGCAGCTTGGTGAAGTACTCGGCGGCGAAGGCCAGCAGGTCCGGCGGCCGGTGCCGCAGCACCTCCACCGTGTAGCCCTGCAGCAGCTCAGTCAGACCCGGCGGGATCTCGATGCTCATCTTGTAGCCGAGGCGCGTGGGAGACTCAATGGACGGGCCTGGGAGAGAGAGAGAGAGAGACACGACGGAGAGAGAGCGGGAGTCCCTGCTCGCCGTCGCCACCGCTACAACTACTGTGGCGGTTGGTCATGGTCGCCGCCGCCGCCGCCGCCCACCTCTATCTATCTCTCCCCCTCAGCTTTCTACGCAGGCCTCGAGCCGGAGGTGGGGGGTGGCCGCCGCCGCTTTCTCCGCCTCCACGTCCTGCCTCCTCCTCCTCGAGCCCTCCGCCAGCCCTGAGGGAACCGCCGCGCTCGCGCCGCCGCTCTCTGACACGCAAGAAAGAGAAAGGAACGGAGCGGCGGGGTAGTCGGGGGAAGGAGGGGCCGGAATGGAAGCGCGAGGCGAGCTGCGCATGCCCAGCAGGAAGCGGCGGAGAGCGCCACAGAGAGAGAGAGAGAAGCAAGGGAGGGCGGGGAGTGGGCGGGAACACGCTTCATGCGTCACAATAACGGACAAGAGGCGCTCGAGGGATAGATTAGGACCTAATTTGACTTTTACCAAAAAAAAAAATCTTTCGAATTTTCCCCACGGCACACCAGGCAACATCTCGCGGCACACTAGTGTGCCGCGGAACAGTGGTTGGGAAACACTGCTCTATTCCATCCTAGAGCTACAATCCCTAGAGTGGTTTAACAATCAGTCCCTTTCCCCAGGGAACTTCTCAATTGTGCTTTTAAAAAAGATGTTGGTTTTTTTAAACAGCACGACAAATAACACCTAAAAAACCCCCAACTATATAAGCAATGGGAATGGAAAAAAACCAAAACGTGATTCTATATATTCCACTATGAAGCCTATAAGCAGGTTCTTAACTTGTTGTGTAAAAAAGTGACCGCTTTGAGGTTTGTTTTTTTACAATCAAGTGATATATAACTTTTTTGAAATCAGTAAATGCAGTATGTACTGGGCAGGTTCTCTTTTAAAATGAAATTGAGTATCAGTAGCTCAGTGAAGCAAAAAAGTATGTTCTGGTTAAATATAAAGATGAATTAGTATGATCTAGAGAAGGATCATTCCCCCCCTCCCTCTCTTACCCCAAATAAATTCAGGACATTTTCCAGCCGCACAGGTTTGTTGTGAAGATGGAACAAGAGAGGACAGAGGCCGACATTATACCACCACTCTGAGCTCATGGCAGAAATGGTAGAATAGAAACGTCATGGCGTGACTTTAAGCTTAGGGAATTCATTGCAGCATTTTGGTCTGGCTTTAAAACCTTCACCTCCTGATCCAATGAGTGTGATCTACACATAAAAGCAAGCTGTTGCACATGGGTGCAATGGATGTGGGTGTTGGGAGTGCATCTGAATGCAGTTTCATGATGCTCACCCAGGTTCCGTTGAATTAGGCTGGATGAAACTTTGAGTGTGTCTACACATCGCCCTAACGGGACACGGGTGGCGCTGTGGGTAAAACCTCAGCGCCTAGGACTTGCCGATCACACGGTCAGCGGTTCGAATCCCCGCGGCGGGGTGCGCTCCCATCGTTCAGTCCCAGCACCTGCCAACCTAGCAGTTCGAAAGCACCTCTGGGTGGAAGTAGATAAATAGGGACCGCTTACCAGCGGGAAGGTAAACGGCGTTCCGTGTGCTGCGCTGGCTCGCCAGATGCAGCTTGTCACACTGGCCACGTGACCTGGAAGTGTCTGCGGACAGCGCTGGCTCCCGGCCTATAGAGTGAGATGAGCGCACAACCCTAGAGTCTGTCAAGACTGGCCCAAACGGGCAGGGGTACCTTTACCTTTACCTTTTACACATCGCCCTATTGAGTTGTTAGTTGTTGCACAAGACCTACCCACCCAAGACTTGGCGACCTCCTGATGTTTCCATATAAGAAGCAGGCTGTGTTATATTATTGTTGAATGGTGATTTTGGAGTGTGTTATAGTGGCTGCTGTTCTTTTGATTATGATTAAGAATTCCAATTTAGGGATTTTAATGTCCTTTCCTGTTTCTCGTTGGGATATTGTTGTACGTTGTTGTTTTGTTACTCTGGTTTTCTTTTTTTCTAATGAAGAGTAGACTCTAAATGAGATGAGATATATATAAGACTTGAGTACAGGTAGGGTTGTATGAGGCCCTACTATTTTAAACTCTTTTAACTGCATACTTGTGCTGTATTCGATTCTGCTAGTCTGGAATATAATGGCGTTTCTGTGTGCCGGGAGCAAAGCCATTGTGCTTTTGCACGGAACTTGCACAGTTGTTTCTGTAGACTGCTCACACTGGCTACATGGAGGTTACCCTGTCTTAGCCTGAAAATCTTAACCAATTGACATCTATGGCAAATCTCCCATGACTTCACTTAGGTCAGGTTTTTTTAAAAAACTGGTTTCCCATCCTTTGAACTATGATTGCAGCTGGCTCCGTTCTCCCCTCAGAAATCTGTACTGCAGTGCTTAAAAGTCTCTTGGGATTCTGTATAGTGGTGATCCCAGGCTCCAAGACCAGCTGGCTCCTAGCAGCCGCTTTTGCTGTTCTGCGCCTGATGCTTTCTGCATCCACGAAACTCTTTGGCATCTCACCCACTGTCATGCAAGGCGGGCCTGATGGATTTGTTGGACTTGTTGCCCTGTTAACACTGCTTATGTCGTATCTGCTTGCCTTCT